GACTCCGAATCATGTGATTCTTGAGTCCATCTTGATTAATTTTTTGTTGTCTTTCCAGCAGTGTGCTCGGTGGCACCCGAGTTCATATTTTTAGAAAATTACCATTTTGCCCCTAGGGGCTTATTTGTCATATTTCTGATCTTTTGCTTCCGCATCTGGATCCGTTATCGGGTCAATCTTCGGTTCATCACAAGACGCACTGGCTTGAAAATCTAGGGCCATCACAGGTGGTATCAGAGCTCCTAGGTTTGAATACCTTAGGACGACGGGTTTTGGGTGCATATCATGCTTTCGTTGATTTACTTTGATATATTCATATGCTTTTAATGACATATTTCGGCATTTTAACCTATTTATGTGTTTCTTGATAACATGTTTGGTAGTATGACATGTCTTTATGCTTATATGCCTATGTGGTTAAGAGCATTCTTGTTTGACATGTATGCTTATTTGCTTAAGTGCTTAACTGTTTTAAATAGATTTTTTTGATTGCTTTAGTATGACCGTATGTTATATACCTTGTCATGCTTCGTATTTCGTGCATTCATAGTGTGAGTTGCACTCAGTCATAATAACTTGTGTTATTGTTGACCTCTTTCTTTACATATGTTTAGCATCATGGTTGTCACTTATGGAGAGTCTTCACGTCAAGGCATTGAGGAACAGGGGGATGACACCGAGTTTACGAGGGGTCCAGGGAGGCACAGGATTCCAATTCATGACGTGGATGCTAATGCGCCGCGAGAACCGATGTATGAGGAGTGAGTGGCTCAAGGAATCAATCAGGGGATCGCTAAATCCCTACAGGATACGTAGGCAGGTGGCAGGGATACGGATTCCGACACTGGCACCGATAGTCAATGAGGTAATGGAGTACTTTATGTGACTACAGAGGGTTAAGATTGATCCATTTACAGGGGGTTCAGATCCGCTAGTCTCAGAAGTTTGGTTAGACCTTATGGTTCGCAAGTTGGACAGTATGGTAGTACCCACGGACAGGTTGAGGTTTTCCTTGACTGCTTCTATGTTCACGGGAGATGTAGATATCTGGTGTAGGTTTATGACCAATGTCCACAATGTTGAGTTGATGACTTGGAATGAGTTCAGAGATTTGTTCTTCGAGCACTTCTTTTTAAGGGCTATGAGGCGGGAGATGAGGATACAGTTCACAGGTCTTTATTAGGGCACTATGAGTTTCATTGAGTATGAGACATGATTTACTTCTCTCTCTCTCATTATGCCGAGGATATGGTAGCGACAGACGAGGCCAGGGCAATAAAGTTTCAAGATGGGCTACATCTTGACATTAGGCCACGGGTCTCAATTCTTGATTTGAGGACTTATAGAGATGTGGTCCAGAGAGCTATGTTAGCTGAGGCAGAGGAACGGGATCAGTTACGGATCAGGGGTTCACATAAGCAGCCTCACGGAGACACTCCATCATCTTCCGGGAGTCAGTAGAAGAAGGCTAAGGCAGGGAACAATGCACACTCATAGGGGGCACCACAACAGATTCGTCCTGCACCCACAGTTCCTGTATCTTCAGATCAGCCCGGGGTGTGATTTGTCACCATTGTCAGCAGCCGGGGCACATCAAGCCTTGCTGCCCACAGCTTAAACCACAGGCCAGTCAGACATCAGTTTCTACGAGAGCAGGGCAGGGAGCTTGCTTCTACTGCAGTAACCAGGTCATCTCAAGAAGGATTGTCCAAAGTTGTTGAATAAGTCACGTAGTGGGACGGATTCACAGATAGTACCGGCACAGTCTACGGTGGTTCAGTCTGGTTTCAGAGTTCCTCAGGAACCACAGCCAGTGGCACTAGTTGGCACTTATCCAGCCAGGGGCTCTACACCTACTGCTTCTACACATCAGTCAGGCTAACATGGCAGTTCACAACAGGGCTCAGGGGCTCAGGGACGAGCCTACGCTCTTCCATAGGCAAATGCTTCCGCAGGGACCTCTTCTGTTCGAGGTATCTTTCCAGTTTTTAGTTCTTGGGCTCGGGTTCTTATTGACATGGGTGCATCACATTCTTTCATTTCTGCATCATTTGCACATTCATTGGGTCTGGAGGTCACACTTCAGGATAATCTTATCTGTGTTGACACACTAGTTGGGGTCCAGTGTTTTTGGATCGTGTTTTTCGGCGTTATGCTATTGAGATAGGTAGGCGGACCTTAGAGTTCGATTTTGTTGTTCTCGACATGACGGGCTTTGTTGTTGGATTTTGTTTCAATCATGATAATTGCATTGATAATGTAATTCTTGTAATTAATATCCGAATAATCTTTTGTCGTGTTAATCGGAATGTTCCAATCATGTTAATTGCATTGATAGTATGATCCTTGTATTCAAGTATCCTTTTTATCGTGTTGTATGGATTATTCCAAACCTTGTTCAATTACATTGATAATGTGATTCATGTTAATTTATAAACTTGTCGTGTTCTTTGGATTATCCCAACCTTGATTCGTTTTAGATATATATCATGATTCATGTTGATTTACACTTATGTAACTTATAATGATCCCTGAGTCTCACCTTGACATAGACGTTAGGTGGTATGAGCCCCTTTAACATGTTCCATCTTAAGGTGATATTAGTGTAAAATGCTAGGTCTATGCATGCTCATCTCCTACGAGTAGCTTTATGTTACTCACCCCAAAGTTACCGGGGCATTTTTCAGGTACGAAGACTTGGTTCATGATGCTCATCAATTCTTGGATGACTTATAACTTTTAAGTTTCCATTTCATGCAAATGTTAGCATGAAATGTCATTTTGTAGCTTTCTATGTCAAAACTTGTATCTTTGATTCCATATATGTAATGTGTACATAAGTGCACCTTTTGTACTATGCTTGACACGTAGAACATGAGGCCAAGGGCCATTAATTTTAAAGTTCACAAGTATATTAAACTTGTTTTGGATCATTGGAATGCATGTATAGCCTTAAACTTGTTTCTGTTTTGTCGTTTAGCTGATTGTTGCCTTCTGTCATATTGTTCGGCTGATTGTTGCCTTCTATTTCGTCGTTTGGCTGATTATTGCCTTATGTCATGTCGTTCGGCTAATTGTTGCCTGCTGTTTCGTCGTTCGGCTGATTGTTGCCTTCGGTTTCGTCGTTTGACTAATTGTTACCTTTTGTCATATCGTTCGGCTGATTATTGCCTTTTGTCACGTCGTTCGACTGATCGTTGCTTCTGTCACGTCGTTCGACTGATTGTTTTTTTTTTAGTTTCGTCGTTCGGTAGTCAGAACGCTTGATCCTTTTTTCAAAACGTTTGGCCATGTAGGTCAGAATGCCTGACCAAGTGAGTCAGAACGCTTGATCCTTTTGTCAGAACGTTTGGCCATGTAGGTCAGAACACTTGATCCTTTTGTCAGAACGTTTGGCCATGTAGGTTAGAACGCCTAACCATGTGAGTCAGAACGCTTGATCCTTTTGTCCGAACGTTTGACCATGTAGTTCAGAACGCTTGATCCTTTTGTCAGAATGTTTGACCATAGGTCAGGACGCTTGACCATAGGTCAGAACGCTTGACCCTTTCGTCAGAGCGTTTGACCATATAGGTCAAAACGTCTGACCCTTCCTCACTGACTTGCACATTTGACCTTCTTTGTAGTGTTGTGGTATCTCCTAATTGGAGGACGCCGTTTCGTTCTATCTTTATATCTTTTCCGTCCGGACTCTGAATCAGGTGATTCTTGAGTCTAGCTTCATTCATTTTTTGTCTTTCTAATGGTGTGCACGATGGCACCCATTTTAGTTTAGAATGACCATTTTGCCCTTGGTCCATTCCTTGGATGGTTTTAAAACCCTAACTCCGGTCTTGCTTCCGCTAAGTTACGGGACTCCTCATAAGATCATTCTTGTGTCTTGACGTACATCTCTACAGACTTGTTCATATTTTGCTTCCACAATTTGGATCTGTTTCGGGTCATCACAGGACACACTGGGTTGACAAATCTAGGGTCGTCACAGGACATACATATATATAATTTTTAATATTTTAGATCTCTTTCAATATATATATATATATATATATATATATATATATATATATTGAAAGAGATCTAAAAAATTAAAAATTAGGAATAAAAAGAGAAAATCTGAAAAAACGATTATGTCATTTAAAAAATAATATGCAAGGACCATTTCTTTTAGGTTTGAAATACACACTTAAAAAAGTAGAATAAGAATATTGTCTCCTTAAAAAAATTTGGTAAGTCCTTTCTCACTCAAATCTCACTTAGATAGACAAGTGTCGTGGAATATAATGGAATATGAAAGTATGTTGTTAAAAGAAGAGTTTGTGTGTCTCATGGACTTTTACACCATCTAATTTGACTTGGGCGCTTTTGGATTGTTTAGACATATAATATTATGAATCATAAATATCATATTTTTATTTTATTTCTTTATTAAAACGCAATAGACCTATATATATATATGATTATTCTCAATCAAAGACTAAAGTTTATAATGAAGACCACTTTTGATATAAATGTTCATATAAGAAATACCATTTCAAAAGGGCCAGTCACGTACATACCATCATTTTTACCATTTTCGGTAATAGGGAATAATATTTGGGAAACTTGAGCCTCAAATTTGTCATCAAAATGGTAGGAAATTAAAGCTAATGTTTAGCTTTTTCTTTTTCTTTTTCTTTTATATAATTTATAGTACTTGTTTTTCCTTTTGTATAAGGTAGGACTTGTTTTCCGTCTAATTAATGACAATGTTATGCCACGTGCACATGTCACGTGTGAATGTCTACCTCTGCGACGACAACTCCAAATCCAACCAAACAACCAATCGGTTTAAAGGTGGTCGTCGTCTAGGGGTGTGGTCGCTCTTTGTAGTATCAGTTTACTCCCGTCTCACTCTCTCAATTAAGTTTCACCTACTATATACCTTACACTTATCAAAGCATTGCTACTACTATATATATACACACACACACACACACACACACACACACCTTATACATAACTACATATATAAGGAGGCCTAAGCCTAAGGTGGCGGCCTTCTTACTCCATCTATCTATGTGATTGAATTAAGAAGAAAGGGAAAGAGATATATCGATCATGGGAAGAAAAGCAAGTAAAGGTGGTGGTGGTGGTGGTGGTGGTGGTTGTTCATCCATAGACAGCAACAGCAACAGCAATTACCATCCTTCTCTCTCTTCTGTTTCTTCTTCTTCTCCATCTTCTCTAATCTGTGACAATAAAAATCAGCTCCCCAAAACAAGCAAGGATTTGAGCACTGATCTCAGGCTTGGTCTCAACATCTCCCCACCCTCTCCTAATTCCCAATTTCATCAAAATCAAGATTATTTCTCTTCCTCTTCTTCAAGCCCTGTCCACCCAAGGTACCAATCTAGTCAATTCAATTAATTCATCACAAATATACATTATTACTATTATTAGGAATACATTTCACCTTTATCATATACCTTCTAAATTTAATTTCTTATATTTATATAGGAAGCAAAGGTTGAGTTGGCCGCCGATCAAGCCACTTTTGAGAAGCAGGGTTGCATCGGAGAATGCAAATACCCAATTCTATGCGGCTGCAGCCTTGTTTGTGAAGGTGTACATGGAAGGCATTCCCATTGGTAGAAAATTGGATCTCTTCGCCCACCAAGACTATCATAGCTTAATCACAGCCCTTTCCCATATGTTCAACACCGCCATCCTCTGTAAGTACATATATATATCTATCTATTAATCTACATTTCTACATAATTAATTTTACATAATCGATAGTTATATATATATATATATAGGTCTAATTTTGTGTTTTAGAAATTGGGTATGATTTAAACAATTTTTGTTTATGATATACGATGACTCCTCAGTGACTAGCTAGTCATGGAAAAATATTCTCAACTTACAGATTTATAACACTTGTTTGGGAACGTACAGGTCCTGATGCTGATGGAGTTCATTCTGCCAAATATCATGTTTTAACTTATGAAGACAAGGAAGGAGACTGGATGATGGTTGGAGATGTTCCTTGGGAGTAAGCTTAATAAATTAGACCCTTCATCGAATCATCACAATTTCAATTCTTGAATATTCAATCTCATTTATACATCATGATTAATGACCTCATGGGCATTGCGCTTTTCTTGATTTTTTTCATCTGCAGAATGTTTTTGACCACTGTGAAGAGACTGAAGATCACCAGAGGAGACAGATGCTAGCTATATTTATAGTTGATATTCATTCCAAATACACCCCCCCTCCATCACCTTAATTCTCTTTTATACAATCTTTTCTTCTAATTGGGTGGCAACACCTAATTTAAAAATAGAAAGGAATATGCTTAAAATTATACTAGATATTGTGCATTCCAACAACAGATCACCATATATAAATTAAGCATCTTACTTTTATTTTATTTTATTTTTGTCTTTCCCTTCAAAGTTCTGCAACCTCTGAATTCTGAAATTTGTTTGAGATTTCATTGCTGCCAAATAATTTGTGCAAGTGTGCATAAAAAAATATTTTATTATAACCGCACACATATATGCGCTTGTGATGTGGGGTTTTTTTGAAAGTGTGTTTATGAAGGTAGCCAAGGTGATATGACTACTTGAAGGTTCATTTCCCTTTTTCCATTTCCTTTACCTTTTTTTTTTTCGTTTGTGCCTTGCTTTGTTGAGTGAATTGAATGTGGTACTCCAGCCTCCCGTGTGTCTCAACAAAAGTTCTGTCTTAATCCCTGTGAGGCTTTGTTGAGTGAATTGAATGTGGTACTCCAGCCTCCCGTGTGTCTCAACAAAAGTTGTGTCTTAATCCCTGTGATTAATTAGTGAATGGGACTCTCCTCAAGACGAGGAGTTCAGACACGGACACAATATGCCTGTTAGGATGGTCCGGGTTATTAACCCCTCCAATTTACTTGACCCTCAGCTATGCTGTTATTGAGAGTTAAATTTCTTCTTCATCATATATGACTGAAGTATCTGTTGGGAAACATGCAAGTTTTAAAAACTTTTTGATGGATTTTGATTCATAAATCTTGATTCATCACATAGGGACAAATTTTATACAAAAATAAAATATGATGTATCATTCAATTAATAGATTGAATACTTACATCAAATGTCTCAGTAAACCTTTAACTCTTTCCTCTAAAGTGAATGCTTTCACTTATTGTAGATCCCTTAGCAAGATGCATCTCCTTGGATCTCCATCTTCTTAGTAATTGTTTTGCCTTTATGAATCACTCATAAGCCTCCATGAATGACATTAGAAAATTAGGCTTGTGGGAGCCTCCATTAGATGAGAACATTAACCCTAATTTTCTAGAGAGAGAAAATAGATTCATTTTTTCTTATTCCAAAAATCACACACAAAATATACATAGATCATCTATATATATAGGCAACATAAAGATAAGAAAAATGAAATAATAAATCCTTCTCAATCTCTAATTCACATGTCTCAAATCTAATAGGATTCCAATATCAAGTTGGGCTATGAGTGAGAATCTTTTGGGCTTATTATTTTATTGGCTACAATGAATTAATAATTGGCCCGATCCATGGACCCAATTCAATTAATTCATAAATTAATTTCTATTCCGCTAAAAGAAATTAATTGAATTCCAATTAAGTAATAAATAACCTCTAAGTCAATGTTGTACTTTGACCCCTCTATGCATAATTAGTTATCGGATAAATAAAGCCATCAATCTGACTACTTAATTAATATATTTATTTTGGTACCTTTGATTATTTCTGACTCGATCACAATAAAACATTTGTTTGACAAAAATAATAATTTAAATAAATAAATATATAATAAATCATTTTGTCTAAAAAGACACAAAGGCCTTCGAATTTACTTTATGATCAATCATAATCAATACAAAATAAATACAAGTAGCAATGATTCAAATATTGAAAATATAACTCTCTAACTATTAATTACATAACTACCCAAAGTGTCAGTCTAAGGATCCCGAAGTATCCGCCGAACAAATCAAAATAATTATTAATTAATAAAAGAGTTTATACTTTTCTCATGCTTAAGAGTCAAATGCCATGACGGTGGTAGGGAGCAATTGCATATGACGACTCTCGCAATATGTCTCAACCTAACGCGGATCCAGTTCAAGTCTTAATTAATTATGAGTCCATCCATAATTACCGACTATGAACAATTTATGATTACTATTTATATTCATGTATTGATCGCCATCACATACATATATAAATATCTCTTGTAATCAAGTGGACACTATCAATTCTATAATGAATCGAAACATAATACATTGAATTCACCAATTGTATAAAGCATAAATATTTCAGAAACGTCAGGAACATATGTCATTATAATCCAGATAAGAATTTGCTATGCCAGGGCATATAAATCCCAAGAGCTCCCACTTGCCCTCATAGCCCTTATAGCCAATTCAAATTGCATCTAACTCCAATGTTATCCAGATGACGATCAAAATTATTGATCAATGACACCTTTGTTAATGGATCAATAAAGTTGTGTTCCAATGCAATGCTCTAGCCACGAGTACATTTTCTTGAAGAACATGATACTTCCTTTCAGTGTACCTTGTCCCTATGAAACCTTGTGTCATTGGTTTGGACTACTTCTACACTATTGTCACAATATAGCTCGATAGGCAGCCTAGTATGCTCCACAACCTCTAAATCAGTAAGATCAAACCAAAAGGCTTCCTTTTGCCGTCTTTAAGGCTGCAATGTACTTTCCCTGCAGGTTTGAGTCAGCAGTTGAAATCTGCTTAACAATTTACTAACTAATTTCCCTTCCATTTAGAAAACATACACTAAGACATGGACCTTATATAACTGATTTGAAATCAGAACTATCAAACCTGACTAGAACCACATTATCACATCCATAAATAAGTATGAGATCATTGGTTTTCCTGAGGTACTTAATGATATTTTTCACAACAGACCAGTTATCAAGTCCAGGATTGGACTGATATCTTCTGACTATCCCTACAATGTAGCGGATGTCCTGTTTGTTATAGACCATGGCATATATGAGACTCCCATATGCCAAAGCATATAGTTCCAGTCTCATTTGCTCAATCTCCTCTGCTAGTCTTGGAACACTACTTACTAGAGAGAGCAATCAATGTCAATAACGCAAGAACTCATTCTTTGAGTTTTGCATACCAAACTTGGTCAAAACTTTATCAATGTAAGATTATTAAGATAAGCCTATTTTCCTTTTAACCTGATCTTACAAAAACTTGATCCTAGGAATATAACTTACATCTTAAAAATCTTTCATTTCAAAATAATTGAACAACTACCTCTTTACTGGTGACAAAACTTTCCATATCATTATAAATGAGTAGGATGTCATCAATATATATAAAATCAGAAAAACAATGACATTACCCTCTACATACATGGTTCATATACTAAGAACCCTCTACATACATGGTTTATATACTAAGAAATCTTCTGGTATTCTTTTGTAGATTAACTTGCCTTCCATAGGTATCACCCTACTAGAAAGTTCTACAAGATCTCAGATTTTATTAGAATACATGGATTCCAACTCTGATTTCATAGCAACTCGCCAAAACGATCTGTATCCATATCGGTTCATACTTCCGTGTAGCTTACTGGGTCAAACTCATGTTTAACAGGGATGTCCATAACGGTCTCACCTAAAAACATGACTCTGTCGGATTGGATGATAATCCTCCCATTACAATAATGTACCGATGCAGGAATCTGTGTATTAGATAATGCTGACGCATCAATAGGGAATTCATATATTATTTTCAATCTCTATAATAAGTGTGTTCACATGTGGTACATCTGGTACTCATACCATATTCTCTAACATTATTCTACTAGGTATATAATCCATAATATGATCCTCCTAAAGATAAACAGTGAGTGTAAACAATCAAATTTTATCATTGAGATCATAAAATAATCTATCCTAGTGCTTTTTAGAGTAGCTATCAAATCTATCATGCGTATGATCTGTTTCCAACTTACTTGTCCATATCAAGTGCACATGCGTAAGACTACCCCATATGTGCATGTGATTCAAACTAAGATTTAGTAAAAAACACAGCTCAAACGGTATCCTTGAGACAGACTAAGATGGAATGCAGTTCATAATGTGCATTGATTTTGTTAAGGCTAAACTCTAAAATGAAAGAGATAATGTAGCATAACTGATCATAGATCTAACCATGTTAAGCGGAATTCTGTTATTCCTATTTGACACCTCAATTCATTGAGCGTCAATTGCGGAAAACTAGTACACAACACCCTCATTGACCATATAGTCTTTGCACTATCCAAAGAAATACTCATATCCACGATCAGATTGAATTGTTTTGATAAGTTTACCTGATCTGTGTTCCACATCAGTCTTGACACTTTCAGAATATACCAAAAGTTTAAGACTCGTGTCGCATCAGATAAATTTATCCAAAACGTGAGTAATCTTGCCTGGATGTTCGTAAGACCACACGTGTCTGTGTGTACTGACTCCAATTATTCTTTATGTCTATTTCATTTGGCTGATTAAACCCTTAGGGTTATCTATCCTTCAAAACAGGATTCATAAGTTTGGTTTAGGCTCCCCTGCCTCACTAGGTTATAAACCTTCTTTGACCAATCTTTGAATCTCATTTTGATTGATTATAACCCAAAAAATAAACACTAAAAATACAATGAGTTCGGAATAATAAATTTTCTCTTAACATTCAATCTAGAAGATGCAACATTAGTTTCTACATCCTGCAAAATTTAAGAGCTTGTGGTTATAGTATATTGACCATCTTTCAATGCATCAGAAGTAATCGCACATCTAATCAATTTTATAAAACCAGTTTTAGAAAATAACAACACAGTTTTTTATAAACCAAAAGTGAAAAAAGAATTAGATTGCGTCTAACATCTGTACATAAAGATAATTCTCTAATACTAATATCCTCATACTCTCTAATTTCAGATGTAATACTCCTACTGACTTAGCTACAACCTTAACATCAGGTCAAGTACAAATATATTCCATATCATCGAGGCTTCTGGATTCCTGAAATCCTTGCAACAAATTGCAAACATATTTAGTGGCTTAAGAATCTATCCATCAGGAATTAATAGATATAACCACATAACATGGCTTAATAATTAAATATACATTTTCCTACGCCACGTCATTGCTTAGACAGTTCGTCCTTTAGTGTCTTAGTTTGCAGCAAAAGAAACAGTTTCCTCACCCTCAACATACACTACCTTATTCCCTTTAACCTTTTGGATACCAATGTTTTGTGCTAGCCTAGTCCTATTATCATCCTTCTTCTTTGCTTTGCCCTTCCACTTGGGCCTAGAAGAAAGATGGTATAGACTAGGTTAGATTAGTAGGAATGCC